TCCCATTATATTCTTTTTAATGCTGTGATCAGAGGCTTTAGTCATTCTTTTGTTCTGAGCTGCAATAAATAAAATGTTCCACTTAAATATTTTCTAACAGTGGAACAATAACTGTATATATAGATATAAATACATATATACACACTCTCCATTTATAGATATATACCCATAGATAAAAAGAGAGAGACTGTGTGTACATATACACGTAACACATCTTTTCAATTATCTTGTTGGTTGGAATGGGGGAATTAATTTTTGCAAATGTGAAGTTTGGAGAGCATTTTCCAACTCCAGTAATCAAAATTGCATAAAACACCACTATTTCATTAGAATGGTGACCTGCAAAGCATCTTTCAGGGTATGGCTAAAAGAATAGTGTGTGGTACTAAATGCAAAGCAGAAAAAAAAATATGTTATTTTACCCTTCTGATGGCTTTCATCCTCCTCAGCTGAAAAACAAAGCAACAAACCCAGAAATAGCAAAGAATGTTACATTTTTCAAGACAAAACCCACACAAAATGTGAGTGAGATTTTCAGTGTTGTAGAATGTTTTCTTTTAGGGAACTGAGGCTTGGCATTAAGTTCAGAATATAATTCCAAAATAGGTGGGGGATAAATGGTCCTCTGAAGATACCCATCCCATAGAAGGAGTCTAGATTATTAGCTTGGACTAGATACATAAAACTCACTGGCTAAAACCAGGTGACACTGCAGATAATAACACCAGATATCATTAATTAAATTGAATACCCCAGTTTTAGAATAGAAAGACATTTTCAATATGGGACCTTTTTTATCATATTATAACTTTTTTAAATATAGAGGACTCTTCTGACCAAAAGATACTCAAAACCAACATAATGAAGAAGCCAAAATACATTCTTACCCAGTTCACCTTTGAGATAATCTATCTCTGAAAAAGATTATGGTTAAATATTAAAATACCATTTCCTTCCTATTTTTTTTTAACACAAATACATTGAATTTTCTATCTGTTCCACTGTATTCTGTATAACAAGAACTAAGATAAAATTAAACAATCCCAGCTTCATAAAAATGACCAGATGCTCCCCTGCTATAAGGCAGCCAGAGTTATTGTCTTCATTTTGCTGGGTCCTTCCTTAAAACTGCGAACAAAAGGACTGGTCAAGAAATTCACCTCGGTGAAATGAAGTAATTCAGATGACGGAACTAAGGAGAAAAAAACGAAACTAATACTATAAAAAGGATGTGATTGAATAGCATTAACATACGGTGGAATGACCTTAAGCACACCCATCTGCGGCCGGTTCTTTGTATTTATGTTGAAACAACTGAACCGTGGCCAGATAATCTTGAACATGGCTTTATAAAAGCTATAATTGATGTCTCTCCATGGTACTATATTTCTCCATGGTACTATAAGGAGTACTAAAAAGTTTCAAAAATTTTACTGGATTTACTACATCTCTGGCCCATTTTGCACACCCAGCCCACTTGCTCTTCACAGTAAAAGCAGTCTTCTTGGTCTACAGTCTTTATAAAATGATCAGAAAACTATTTTTTAATTATTTTTCAGACTGTAGAGCTTAATTCTTTCTTTTATTACAGACTGAAATTCAGCATGAACCATGATCCCAAAGTAAGAACACATTAATTTACCCAAATTAACCAAAAGATCAATTTGCCTGCTCAAATACTAGGAAAAAAATACAAGCCATAGATCAAACTTCTACATGAAATAGTCGTCGTCTTTGCAGTAGGCATTGCTAATCTTTAAATGCTCAATATAAAAGGTATAGCAATGGGGGGTTTTAATTTTATTTCACAAAAACAAAGCAGTCATTAATATTTCCAGAGCTCAGCTTTCATCTGGTTCTAAAGGATCAGAGAAATTTACATATAGAAACCACTGAAAAAAAATCTGTTATACTTACCTTCTTGAATATCCTTTTGTGCATTTTCTGTGAACAGAGAAATATTTTTATATCCTAAAAACAGTTCTTCAAGCACCTAACCTTCAGTTTTAAAGACCACACAGAAGTGATTAAGCCACAAATTGTAGACAATCATAGAATCATTTAGGTTAGATCATTGAGTCCAACCACTAACATGA